TATGTGCCGGGTTTTGAGACCACGGGCTCCCCATTTTTTGTGGACTATAGAGCTAATGTGAGAAACAACAACAACAACAACAACAACAACAACAAAAACAACAACAACAATAACAACAACAACAACAACAGCAATACCTAGCGTACCCCTACCGACCCAACCAGTAGGGGCACACATGCCTTGTGCGGCTGGTGAGCTGTGCCAACTGCCAGACCAGACGCCAGTAGCCCCTCACGGCCACCAATGTCACGGAGGGTGTGGCGGCAGACTGCACGGACTGTGTGGGGAACAAGACTAGGATGCGGAGTACGAAACCGCCCGCATCTGCTTTGCATGCATTGCCTTCAAGCAAAAGAGTACTAATGCATCGACAGCTGGAAAGGGCAAGCGCAAAGGGTCAGCCACGGAGAGCGGAGACACGGCAAGACAACAAAAAACGAAACCAGCCAACCACCCGGACATGACTGGTTCGCGCACGCGGATGGACATCGGCACCAAGATGGAGATCCTCCGTCTGCTGGACACGGGCACGCGGACGCAGAAGTCGATCGCAGAGCAGTTCAACTGAGGGGAGCGCACGGTGCGTACCGTCAAGGCCAAGCGGGCGAAGATAGAGAATCAGGCCGCCAAAACTCGCAGCAGCGCCACCACCAGGAAGAACATTCGGGCGGGGGATTTCCCAGAGGTATGCTCCTGTTGTTTTTGTTTTTTTTCAGCCTGCCGTTTGTACCACTCGGTGTTGATTTTTTTTATGTTCAGCCTGTCGTTTGTACCACTCGGTACATATCGCACTTTCGAGAAAAATTGCAGTGCTTGATGTGTGCAATAGCGACCTCCCCCAAAGCAGTCCGTTGTACAAGAAGGAGAGGGAAGTGTACGTGACTGAGCTGGGAAAAATAGATGGAACGTACAGGGAGATGTTTGAGGCATGGAATAGAGAGGAAAGGACGGTAGCTGTACTGGGGCATAGGAGGTGGGTTGAAAAGGCGGGAAGGGATATCGTTAGGATAGACAGACTAGGGAAGACATTTCTGAGCCACCTTTGGCAAAGTAGAAAGGAAGGATTGGCCATCGGTGATCGGTCCTGTGGGAACAATGCTCCGTCCTCTCGAGGACGCGTGGTCAATGGCCTAACCGCTAAGGCATGCAAAACATAAGAGTACGCCCCCCCCAAAGCAGTCTGGATATGCACTGAGATTGTGCTTTGCGCGGTCAACTGCATTGGAAGCATCACGAACATTTACATCTGATGCACCACCCACACACAACAAAAAAGGCGCACACATTTTTAAGTACATTTTTTTTCCACTGCTCGTTTTATCTTCATGTACATTTTGGCTAGGGTCGGCAAACGTCAACCTTTCCACAAGTGTAGTCTCTGCGTGCGTGAACTTTGGTGCTGGTGCGTAACTTTGTTATATTTTTCATCCGTGAAAGCAGTACTGTTCTAACCCGCGCACACCGATTTGAATCCTGTGGTGCTTGCTGCTGACTTTGTACAGTTGGATTCTTTAGTTTTGGACCTCGTCAACAAGGGGCGGATGGCGAAGTACACCGTCACCGGCAACGTCGTCCGATCGTTCGGCCGCTCTGGCAAGGCCACCCTGTTGGGCTCGGCGAAAACGACTGACTCTGTGAGGAAGAGGCTCGAGGACTTCAAGGCTGGCGACAAGTGGAGCAAGCACTTCGTGAAGCACAACGACCTCCACAGCCACAAACTTCATGGGACGGAGTTGACAGTAATGCTGGCGGCCCTGGGCATCACTGCGGGAGAGCCCGCCGATGCTGCCGCTGTGCGAGCGGCTGAAGTGTGGGCGACGGTAGTGGACCAGCCGGATGTTGTGGAAGCCGTGCAGCAGGACGCCGTGGACGAGATGACGCAGCTGCTTGATGGCACGGCTCCCGCGGAGGAGAGCTCGGACGACGAAGCAAGCGAGGAACCCTCAAGTCATATGGCACCTCCGCCGTACGCGGCACTTTCGTCGCACTTCGGGGCTCTGGAGACGGCACCGGAGGGGAGCGGCAACCGTGACGCCGCTTTCCATCTACAGAAGGCCGAAATGGCAATGATCGCAGCGCATGGTTCGAAGGCAGCGAGGCAGACAGACATGAGGCAATTGGGGGGAGGCGTCAGTTGAGTGGTTCTCCCGGGTCCGGTGTCGTGTCCGGTTTCATCCTTGTATTTTCAACTTTCGTGTGCCGTTGTTAGTGTATCCAGGGGGTAGAGAGGTCGGGCTGTTCGATTTTTTTGTCGACTGTGTTTGACGGGTAAGCACCAGTTGGTCAGTTGGTGCAACGTGTGCATTTTTCGATGGTTGTTGTGTTGTGTAGATCGTTGGACTTTTTGCTGTGGGCGTCCTCTCATTCTGGGAAGGATTGGCAGTATTGTTGTCGACCTTCACGAGGGAGCCACTCGATGAGATACTTTGCACGTACCAAGTGAAATACTTCCTCCGATTCTAAATATAAGGGCGGTTTGGACAAAAAGCGGTCTAACTCGGGCCTGCAGAACTCTTTTCCCGAACCGTTTTTTTTGTTGGTTGCACCGCACTCCTGCGCAGCGCGCAGAACCGGGGTCTTTCTGAACACACACCAGCAAGGTGCAGCCCACAGCAGCAGACCGCGCCCGATCTCACCACCCGAACTTTGTAGCTCCNAACTTTGTAGCTCCGGTCAAACACCTTCCCAACTGCTGTTGAGCCATGTCCGCTGCTGGGAGTGCCTCTCAAGGGACGAAACGCAAGAATTTCAACGTTTTGGAGAGAGAAGAGGTGATTCGCCACCTTCTCGCCAACAGCGAAGACGGGGTACTGCGGCACGGCAGATTTCCGCCATTTTCCCGATCAGGGGATTTCACCGCACCATCTCCCCCCCATCGAGCATTTTTTTTTTTTCTCTCTCTCCAATGCGATATCCTATCGTATGCCAAAGATATCCGAGGTCCACCTTGCCCAAATGGCACGTTTCTGCCAATAACCCTCAAACCGCCCTTATATTATGAATTTTCCAAACCGCCCTTATATTTAGAATCGGAGGAAGTACTTATTTTTGTGGACGTCAGCTACTACGGCAGCAAGTAATATTTGGAAACATGCAACATCATTTTTTGTCACGACGTGCATCCTGCGAGCCTTCAGACACGTTGGGGCCCGCCACCTTCCCGAAAGGCTTGAGTGCAGCATCAGTATTCCTCAATAAGGCCGGTACCGGCCTTAAACAAGCCCCGTTTCCAATAAGGCAGGGTGCCCTCTTTAAGGCCGGTCATTTCGTCTGTCACAGGGCGGCCTTAAACAGGGACCTCTACTGTACAGCCAGCGGTTGTTTTTCGTGCTCTTCGTTTGATTGTATTGTGCGATTGGAACAACAGCAGTACCGCACACATCGCATCCCTACTGCACAACAACACGAAATATAATGCGCGGTTCACTCATTCCATCACAGCAAGCAACGGCTGACTCCGACTCCATTCTGCATTATTTGCCCCCCCCTTCTCTCATCTACGTGGACAAGACCGTCCTAGAGTTGTTGAGCAAGCCAGGAAGGCACGGCTACCTCTCACGCAGGCTACCATAATGTCGTTTGGGGTCGCCAGCAAGACGTTTTTTTCGGCGGCGGTCTCTACCACTGATGGCGAGAAGAAGAGGCTCGAGGGCTTAACCGCAAGCGACAGGTGGGCCAAGAACTTCGTTGCGCGGAACGGCATGGCGAGCACCGTTCTGCACGGCCAAGCGGGCAGTGTCGATGACGAGACCATCGCAGAAGGCGTCGAGAAGATCCGCGAGGCGTGCAAGGATTAGAAATTAGAGAACATCTTCAACGTCGACGAGACAGGCATCTTCTTCAGGCTGCTACCGAAGCGCACCTATCTGGCGAATTGGGAGAACCGCAGGTCGGAGGCACGAAGGGAATGAAGGCCAATGATCGCGTGTCAGCTTACATGTGCACAAAACAATCGAACAGAAAGTACGAACGAACATCGACTTTTTTTCGAGAATTCACAGCATATTTAGTCTACAGACAGTATCCAACAGCGGGAAACTGACAACGTCTACCACAGCAGCAGTATAGTCCATGTTTACGAGCGATTTTGTGTTCGACATATATATACATGTGTCTTCTCGCTCTCTCTCTCTCTCTCGTTCTTCTCTCTAAATAAAAAAAACATTGAAAAAAACTCCGCTCTCGCGCACCGTTGGAAAATCCCCTCCTTTCGAGCTCCTCGACGAAGAACTGCGCGAACTAGCTGCTTCGTCCGCCAGGAGGGTTGCCTTGTTCTGCTTGATCGTTCCAATCGCCGTGGTGCCGCAGCTGAATCTTCGCGCTATTTCCGAGTGTGCTACCTTCTTGTTCAGAGCTTGAAGGTCTATATCAAGCTCTGGCCAAAGTTGAGCCGCGTGCGGGGCTGTTGTGCAGCTAGCTGCAGCGCGAATTGTTTTTTCCGCGCGCCGGGTGCTAGAAGGCCGCCTTCCACCTCTTTGCCGGGTGTAGTTGAGGCGTGAACGGAACTCTGTGCTTTCTTGGTTGCACATCAAATGCGGTGCATCTCGTTGCCATCCGGATCCTCCACCTCCCTACACATGCCGTGCATGCGGCCACCGCAGCCACCTTTACAATTGTGCTCCCCGCTTGAACCCAGTGGAGCATCTGGAAGCTTGCACAGAGTTCTCCATCCGCGCACCGCATGGTGTTTGTGTCTCTCGCTGTGAACTGATAACGCTATTGATGGCTGCAAACATGTCCAATAACCGCTATTGAGGGCACGATCGGTTTAGCGGCTACCACATACTATGTAGCCGCGGGGTGTAGCCGTGTCACAAGATTTTATTACCGCTTTTCAGGGCATCCCGCTAAACAGCGAACCGCTAAGCCGGGCCCACGACTGTACTGCTGTATCTATGCATAGTCTGGTCAACGACAAAATTCGTTCTGTTTCTTTTTGGTTCCACCCAGCAGGGGCGAGTCGCGACGACGCTTGGCATGCGTAGGTTACTGGCATGCATAATAATATGCATAACATTTGTACATTTAGACTATTTGTAGTTGTTCCCCGATTTCCCGGCCTGCCTGTGCGACTTGATGTTGGAGTTTAGTTGATCGTGACACTACGCTACTGCTGTACAAACACACACGACAAACAACAGCTAGCTGCAGCAACCACCGCCGTTGCTGTGAGAAATCTAGGGAGTATTTCAAATGACACGACCCTTCGGCGATAGACTATTGACTAGCCCTAAGTAGTCTATATAGCTAGATAGACTATACTGCTCTAAAAGCATTTACGAAGTATTCTTTTCCTCCTTCCTCCTCTATCTACAACATCTCGGGACCCGGCACCTCCTTTCTCTGTCCTCCTCCTCCTTCCTGTACATCTCACAGCATCAGGAGACCGCGATGAGGGGCTTGCGGCGGCCCACAGCAATAACATACAACGACAGCAAGCAGTTATTGACATTCATGTTCGCCACCCAATCGATTTACTTATATATTACTACTGCTCAATCAAATAAGGTACGGTCTAACTATGGACACATACATCTGATGGCAAGGTGCAGCATTTTGCTGCACCATGTTGTACAGCAGACAACGCCACAGAAATATATTCAACAGAAAAATACACAACGCTCATATCAATCGCCTCAAAGCCGGAAGTTGGATGCGATGCTCGATGAGTATGTGGTGAGGG